CTCTCTCTCTCTCTCTCTCGCCCGCGCGCGCTCTCTCTCTCTCCCTCCCTCCAACCTCATCTTCCTCCGTTCCTTCAAAATTCCTTAACCAATGCCTTCCGTCACCCCTTCCCCTCCATGGCATGTGACTAACTTCTATCCTCACCGTTACAATGCCAGGGAACGAATGGAAAGGAACTTGGTCCTCACTTGGTGGAGAGCGAGGGCAAGGGAAGGGCTGCCGGTCCCTTGTGCCACCAAGAAGGAAAAGGATACGAGACTGTTGAGGACGTTGGCGAGAGCAAAAGGGAGTGCTGTTTTGGACAAGGTCAGTCGACTCAACCACCTCCTCGACCGCATGCCTGAGTAAGAAGAGTGTGGTTTGACTGTGAGGAAGGAAGGAAAGCACCCAGAAGCATTGAAAAGGAAAGGGAAGACTTGGACTTGCATGAGGGGCGGTGTGTTGACTCCATCGGGGTCGGACGTATGCCATTGTCGTGGTTATTTGGATGTGTTGCAGGTATGTGGCTTGGACAACCTGGCAATGAAGGCATTGTGCGACATTGGACTGTAATGAGGAGAAGGGGGTTTGAATCTCGAACGGTCGGGATGGACTTTGGGCTTTGACTATTGCATGACTAGTACGACCTGAAAAGACTAAAGGTCGGGGATGGGGCTGGAGCCTGACTTTGCCGTGATGTGTGGTTGTGGCTGGGTCGCGAGTTTGGTGGGACCGCCTGGAAGGACTAAGGGCAGTCACGAGACCTGGGAGATGTAYGTGTAGGCCGACTAGAGGAAAGATAGGGGCTAGGGGCAAAGGGACGAGCCGCCCCAATGATGCTATAGGAGACCAGGGCCGTTAGTGAAGGAGTGCGTGGCCTGAGGAGAACGCTTAGCCTACGCGCCGTAAAGAAGAGAAAGCTCTCAATGAACCTCCCTGGACTGCCTGAGTATTGGAAGGAGCAATTGCCTGGTAAGACAACCAGAGAATCGAAAACCTTACGCCTGCGGACCTAGACCAGTGAGGCTACCACCCGGCTTACATCCCCAATGTTAAGCTCTCTCGCCCTATTGGCCCAACCCCATCCATCTCATAGCACTTGGTGGGGGTGCCCCTGGGACAAACGACCCGCGCCCTGAGAGTGAGCGTGGGCGGGTCGAGCCGAGTGGGACCCGCAGTGGGGTCGACCAAGGCTCGAAAGTCCTTCAGGGTTCGGCCCCGACAAAATGGTGGTGCCGGGTATGGGTTAAACTGACCCATACGTTCTCGAGGGGGGGCGCCCGACGCATGACCGAGAACACAAATGTAAAGATATGGAATATGGACTTGTGTATGCTCTATCCTCTGAGAGAATCAGATTTGAGGGTGGCTGGGCGCATGGCAAGGCTAGGCCCGGAGGAAGAACATGCATGTTTGCACGTTTACTCAACCATCTTCTTTGGAGATGACTCTAGTCCTCCTTCCCTTGGGCTGATGTTCGTCAGGCCGGGGAAGCCTTGGGCAAGCCGCAGGTCGACCCTTCCTCTTCGTGTGAAAGGAGGGCTCCGGTTACCTGGCAGGCGGTTGGGATTCCGGGCCAGTCAGGGTTCCAATGAAAATCCCGCGGCGGAGTGATCCGACCGACCTTGGTGCTTCTCTACTTCTCTTCGGAGCCCAGCGGGCTCCGTGCACCGCACTTAAATGCTTGAAGGAACCTCATATGAACGCAAACGGTAATTGAGAAGGAACAATCCTGCCCTATGAACGGACACACAAGTGAAGATGAAGGGAATGAAGGGAGTTGCTAGACTCCAGGGGAAAACTAGCTCCCCCTTGAAGATGCTCACGAAGGGAACCGGGCACTATGTATGGAAAGTAGGGGTGAGTGACACAGGCTGTCTTGAGAGAAAATTTGTGAGCTATGGGTAGGAAGCGCTGGGTGCACCCGGGGAAAGGCACTTATGTTATGTGTGTCCCACTTGGGGCTTGAAATTGCATGATCGGGATTTCGAGCGTCCTGCCATTCGGAAGGAAAGGATTGGTTTGCGCCGGCCGGTGCGGGATGCGAACTGGTTGTCCTCTTTGAAGTTCACCGGGTTCCGTGTGTGGGGGTCGGGCCACCGGACTGTGAGGCGAGGGTTGGTCTCGTCGGCTGATTAGTAGCATTCTCACCCGAGCGGTCCGAACATGGCTCAATGACCTTGCCCAGACTGGATGTGAAACCTCTTCAGGCGGGGCGGCTGCTTGTCGGCAGACGACAGGGGGACCAGTGCATATGGGGCAAGGAAGGAGCCTCCGAGGCGATGGCCCTACCGAGATGTGCGGGGTGGCTGGGTACCGCGCTCGCGACGGTTGAGCTGAGCTGGAGGTATGGGCTGAAAACCCTGCCGATAGTAACGGTGGAGAGACCATTTCTGGGAAAAGGTCAGTGAGGAGATGACCGACGTGTGTGCGACGTTTGCCTGGTTTTGCTTTTGTGCCTCCCTCTGTAAAGTTGCCTGATGAATGTTGGAAGGGGACCGAGCTTCTAAGTCTATTCTCACCTCCAAGTCTAAGTCCGCACGAGTGAGAGAACAGGAGGAAGAGGTTGGATAGGAGTCGGAAGAAAGTGGAACCAAGAAAAAGGAATGCGAGCCACTGGTGATCGATTGGGGGGGACTGATTAGGGATGTGGCGCTGGTTGATACGCTTGGAGGATGGGTAGAGAACTTTAGGGAGACCTTGATGAGGGGTCTCTAAAACAACGCTAATCTAGGACAATAGTGGACCTAACCCGAGGGCCAATTGGTGCGCTCATTGGACGAAACAGGTCTTGGCCACCGGTATAAAGAAGGCAGGATGGCGCAGTGGCTGGCATCACCGACCTACTCAGATGGACCAGAGATGCCAATAGATGTGAAGGGTGGGGTATCAGTCGTAATGCCAGAGGAAGGAACGTGGACGGACCTGGAGCCGGCCTATCAGACCGTAATGCTGGCCGAAAGTGATGCCTTCCTATGGATTGAGACGATGTGGACTAAGGTAACCTTGGCCAGGAAAACGCCGTGCCTATTGGACCTAGAGTTCCGGGGGACTGTGGAAGCCCGGGGATGGATCTACCTGTCAAAGGAGATGGAGACTGCGATGGTTGTCGAACTCTCCTTGGGGAAACTTTCGTACAAACTGTTCAGGGAGGCCGACCGGGAAGTAGTCTGGGCCGCGTGCCAGCGAGTGGAAATGATGATGGAATCGATTGATGTGCGGGTAGAACTTGGGGATAGGGAAAACGTGCGGAAGCCGTACAAGGCCATAAGGTGTGTCATGCCGCCCTTCATGGTAGACGCCGTATTTGGAACCCGGAGTAGGTTGGTGCGAATATGCAGGGCCATGGCAGGGTCGGGGTTGCACCAGGGAGCCCACCAGGATTTCTTCCGTCTGTCGGTCGAAATGGGACCCTTCGAGGGAAATTGGGCAAGGGAACTGGCCGAGATTTTAAACCATCTCAGCACAGACGGCCTGTTCGTCCCAAGCGACGTGCACTGGCGGATAGTTTACAGGAATGTTGCGGTAGGGGAAATCTTTCTGGAGGGTGTACGGGACCTGTGGCCTGGTACGGGACCTGTGGCCTGAAGAGAATGAAGATGACTCCAAGGAGGAGGACGAGATGGAAATCGAGGAATGGGATTTTAGGAAAAAGGGGGGCTGAGGACGGAGTGGTTGGGTCGCGTGGGGGTGTGCAGGGAATCAAGGATGGCAAGGGAGCAAAGCTTGTGGGCGCGGATGTTTAGAGGATGGACACCTAGGAGGGTTGAGGGCGGGGTAGAGATGGTCTTGCCAACAAGGAACGAGTGGCGCGGCGCGGCCTGCGATTGGGTGGGAGTAGAGATGGTACCGACTGTCCTTTTTGTGGGTAGAACGGGTGTGGGATCCGGTTCGAGAAAATGAGGCATGGGATGAAATAGCCGAGGGGAACGTGGAAGCACTTGGGACGGTGTGCCTTTCGAGGAATGGGTGGTCTATATTTTGCACGCACCTAGCAGCGGGACGAGATCCGATGTGGATTTTAGAGGATGCCGAGCGGTTAACTTGGGAAATGGGGCAGGATTTCGCAAATGAGGAGTGCGATGAAGTGGGAAGCAGGGTCGTGATGGGGGGATGGGAGGACCTTAGGCTCCCCTACCAGTCAGTCCAGGTGAGGATACCGCATTTTGTTGCAGATTGGTTCAGAGGGTACGAACATATCCGCCCAGTAGCGGAGTCCATGGACGAGGTAGAGCTAGGCTTCACCTGGTTGTCGGACACCTATTACGAAGCGTCGTTGCGATTCGGGCCGTTTCACGGGGACCGGGCTGAGGAAGTGGTCGAGATCCTGAAGGAACTTAAGGACTACCGACTAGAGGCAGGAGAGGAAGTCCAGGAGGCGATACTACGTCGGGAAGTAGCCGCAGCACCCTCGTATGTAGGGGACGTCTTCTTGCTGTTTGAGGTCCTATGGATTTGAGTACGGACCTGGGAAGACAGGGGAATAGGGGGATTGACTGGAAAAAGAAAGGGCATTGTACATTAAAAGAAGGGGTAGTGTACATGAAGGGGGCGGGGGGGGCGAAATAGAGAGGGGAGGGGCTAGGGCAACTAGGAGATAAGGGGAGAAGACGAGAACTAACGGAACTTGACTAACGTGGTGTGTGCAAAAATCAAGAGCGAGGAGCGGGAGCAGGTAACGAGAAATGGCTAGGCGTATGACGCTTTGGGAAATTCGGCCGCGAGGGATCTTGCCGCCACGTTCCTTGGATAGAAGGGTGGAGGTTAGCCTGCCCTTCAGGGGCGGGGTGTATAATCCGGTGATGGACTGGGTTGGGGTAGAACTAGTAGAGGACACAGTGTACCTGGTGGTGGAACTAGAATGGCGCGCAAGGGGTGAGTTTGGGGGCATCAACCTGGAGTTGCCAGGACGGGTGCACGCGACAGGGTCCCTATACTTGTCGGATGCGGGATGGCGGACCTTCGGGGTGGCCCTGGCGGATGGCAGTGACCCGTACGGATGTTTGACGGGGCGTGGCAGGTGACCTGGAGGGAAGGGTTTGCGTTCGTCAACCCGGACCGGGATGACGTGACGGCGACCGTCCGGGTGGTCGAGGTAGGAGCTAGTATCTTGCCTTATGAAAATGTGCGCATGGTCTTGCCACCCTTTTTGCTTGAGCGAATGGGAGGGGTAGAACGTGCTGAGATGGCAGTGATAGCCCTGGGTAGGTTGAGTTTTAGTAACATGACCATCTATCGAGAATACTACCGAGCCTTTCTGGAACTAGGGCCATTCGATGAGGAGCAGGAGTACGAGGTGCTAAACATTCTACAGGCCGTAGTGGGCACTAGACCTGGAATACCGACGGTAACCGGGGAAGTCGTGTGGGAGATAGCTAGGCGCGAGATAGGATGCGGGCTGACGTATGTGGATGACGTCCGCCGACTGTTCGAGGGGGAAGAAGAATAGGAGGGCAGAAAAGAAAAGCAAGGGGGAAGGTAGATCGGCGGGATCGGGCTATAAGGGGGCTTGAAGAAAACTAAAAAGAGAGGTTCCTTTTCCCCTTTTCCCTTTTTTTATGCGTGGTGTATGGAGGGCGATATTCGCCAACAATGGCGGCAAGACACGTCCGTACGAACTGGCGGGACACGCACCCGCAACCGTCTATAGAAGCCGGAGGCGGATGGGAAGTGTCACTCCCGGCAAGCTACATTTTCCGGGGGTTAGATACGGAATGGCGGGCTGTGACCCTAGGACGGAATCAGGCTTTCATGCTAGTTGAGTGCCTATGGGGTGGCATGAGATTCGATAGGGGGCCAGGAGACGACTTATATACTGACCTCAGGGTGACAGGGACTCTATATTTCCCAGAAATCGGGTGGCAAATGTTGGGAACTGAACTGGCCTTGGGGCATGGGTTGTTACCAGTGTTTCAAAGGGCAGTCAGGGTCCTGAACCGGATAGGCCATGAGGTTAGGGGAAGACGGAATGTGGGATTAAGGACGCGAGTAGAAGTAGGGGGATGGCGAGACTTTAGGGCCCCTATGTCTAGACTGCGCTGCCGGGTGCCCTGGTTCATGGTGGATTTGGTTTTTGGGAGCCTCACTCGGGCAAGGGATTTGGTGAATTCAACCGTAATTTGGGAACACCACTTCTCACCACAGGCCACGAGTATGTTCTACGACGTGGCAGTAAGGCATGGGCCGTTTTGGGGGAATCGGGCGCGAGAATTATTGGAACTCCTTGAGATTCTGATATTCGGAACGCCCCGTCTGGCGGTTAAGGAATACGAGCCAATAATCACGAGGGAGATCGAGACGGGGGAGAACTATCTCGCTGGGGTAGCAAGACTATTTGAGGAGTCGGACGAGAGGGAGAGGCCGGAGAAGCCAGCGTAGGAAAATGTCGGGAAAGACGGTAGAAACAAAAACTAAAAGAAAAGGAAGAAAAGAGGTGTAAAAGAACTGATTGGGTGGTTGTGACCAGAGCCGCCATGGACTGAACACATGGCAGGAAAAGGGGTGAGGGACGCTGTTGCAACCAAAGGTGTGGCTAAGATGCCTAAGATAAGCAAAGGGAAGAGCAAAAAGGGGTGAAAAATAGGCAATTCTAAAGGCTAAGAGAATTATGTGCGATTGCCAAAAAAAAAATAATTCCATATCACAGGGCTAGAGGAAGGAAAACATGGCCACGAGAGACGATGCTGGAAGTCAATTTAGGGACGAAAATCAGGACGTAGAGGACGACGTAGATCAAGAAGAGCGGGACCTAGGGGATCGGGGGTCGGCAAAGTCACTAGGAAACAGGGAGAGGAGCAAGGACGCCGAGCCCGGGGAAGATTCAGGAAAGAGCGGGGGAAGTAAACGGGGGACTCCGGGAACCAAGGAAGTCAGAGACAGGGAGAGTCTGACACGTCATCAGCCCGAGGGGGCGGAGCCGAAAAAGGTCAGGCTAACGGATGCACGGAGAAAGCTATCCGAAGTAGAGAGACGCACGGCAGAATACAGGGCAAAACTACTGGAAGAGATCATGAACGATGCCGAGAGAAATGCCGCTGATGACAGGACGTGGGAGGAAGGGGAACTGGACCTCGTGCAAGGAAGCCAGGATGGGGATGCACAACATAGGAAGGATCGGCCCAGAGACACGAGGGATACCCCAACAAGGAAAAGGAAAGAAGGAATAAAAGTCCTTAGGGAGGATAGGGATAGACCAGTCAATCCATCCCTACTGGACAGCGGAGCAAGCCGACCCTCGGCGTCGCCTGTAAGTGCAAGAGGATGCGAGGGACCCTGGAGCCTGAGGGAAAGGGTGCTAGGATGGTTTGACCCGGAAGGGATCGCAAAGCCAAAAGGGCAACTCGATTTTAGCAAAGAAGGCGCCGGTCCGAGTTCCGCGACAGGACCTGGGATGATTGAGGGAGGACTTAGGAAGGTGGTGTCGTCCCTCACGCGTGCTCTAAGCAAAAGCCAGGGATAGTTGGCCGACGCCAAGAAAAGCAAAAACCAGGGATACTTGGCCGATGCCAAGAAAAAGCTGACTTTTGATGGTGGAAACATCACCAAGTTCCTAATCGATTATGAAAATCTAGCAGCCTTACTAAGATGGACCGAGGAGAAAAAAATGGAGCACCTAGGCCAGCATGTGTCACTCAACCTAGGTAGGGACATAATGGCAATCGTCGCAACAAGCGGATCATGGAAAGAGGCGAGGGACGTGATGATGAGGAAGTATCTAGCAGACGAAAAGATGGCCACGGAGGCGGAACTGGCTACAGTGCAGAGGAAGAATTTCGCAACATACAACGACTTCCTAAGGGAGTTTACTCTCGTAGCACTACGAATCCCGAAGTGACGGACCGAATAATGAGCAAGTACTTGCTAAAGCAATTCACCGAGTTTGACAAAGATAAGATCTTGTCCGCATACCAGCAGACAACAAAGTTCCTGAACACTAGAGACATAGATTTCAGCACTATAACGGATATTGCAGAGAAGATGGTGGTGACTGACTCGTTGGCCCTGCTAAAAGAAGGAGAGATCATAGATTTGACAGGCAAGATTGGAGATAAAGTGAAGAAAGGAATCGAAAGCCTGCACGAGCGGGTCCACGGGGTTGACGGCAAGATAGAGAGAGTAGAGGACGCCTTACTGGTGATGCAAGCCCATGTCTCTCAAACGCAAGCAGTACGACCCCCCCTCCCGCCACAAGAGGCAATCGTACCCCCAGGGATAGCCAACCGCGGTAATAATCGAAAGGACCCGGCCAATGAGCAGTGCAAGTACTGCACGATAGCCGGGCATTTTGTCCGCATGTGTCCCAGGCTTAACCACGATATCATCCTTAAACGGTGCTTTAGAACTTTGCGCGGGGAAATCCTGGGGCCGCGAGGAGAGAGGGTAAACTGGAACTCGCGGGGAGGGATGCGCAGAGCAGTAATCGCACTTAACAACCTGGACGCAGCTGCGGTGGAGGCTGAACCAGTAGAGGAACTTACCTGGGGACAGGCACCCGGGCGAGGGCACCAGGTTAACTTCATCACCGAGAGTGATGACCGCGACGGGGTTAATGTGACCACCAGACAACGGGGTGCTACAAAGAAGGTAATTCAGGACACAGTCATGGAAGACGCGCAGGAAGGGTCGAACCCGCCAGCAGAATCGGATCAGGACAAAGTTTACGGCAAGCCTAGGAAGGAGGCACCCGTAGACAAAGTAACATCCGCAAAGAAGAAATTCAGGTACCAGATCCCTATCCTTGCCAATCCTGAGATAGACCACACTCTTAGCCAGTTGCTAGGGACCATGGTATCGGTTTCCTTCCAGACCATGTTGTAGGCTAGTCCTAGACTACTAAAGGGCCTAAGACAGGTGCTAACAAGGCAAATGTTGGAAGTAGCGGAGGAACCGGATGTACGCGAAGAAGGCAAGGAAGAGGAGCCACCGCGGGAAGTGGCAAACCTTCAGAGGGCCCCCGGGGATCTGGAAGGTCTAGAGAAGGCCTTCGCAGACATCCGGCTAAGTCTGCCAGACCGGGAAGGCGGAGAAGTCATGAGGGCACCGCCTGGCACGAAACTGAGTTTCCATGCGCTACCGGTAGGGAAGCTGAAAGTCCAGATTGGCGCCCACCATACGGATGCACTGGTAGATGGCGGGGCAGAAATCACACTCATTCGCAAGGACTTTGCAACAATTGCTGGGTGCCCAATCAACCGGGAGGTCACGGGGAGTGTCCGGGAGCAGGTGGGGAAATCCCCTTTTCCGGCTATGTTACCAAGTGCGCAGTTAAAGTCGGGGTTAGAGAGTCTATATGGTCGTTCCAACGAATGACCATCATGGACGAAATGGACCATGACGTGATCGTCGGGCGCCCGTGGTGTGCGAACGTAGAGATGATCGGGATGCATCTGCACGACGACGCCTACATGGTAGACATAGAGGACCCGGTGACAGGACGAGGCGAGCTGCTTCGCCTTATGGGAACCGGGGGAGACACGCCAAAAGGGAAGCTCACAACCTGGTCACCCTCCTTTGAGGAGAGCGCTAGAAAGGGGGCTTTCGCACGCATGGAAGGGATGAGAGAGAGGGTGGAAATTATGATCGAAGAGGCCCTTAGTAAGATAGAATGGGTCAAGATGGGACTCGCGATGAAGAAACGTAGGTCAGACGAAGACGCCCTGGGAGTCATGGTAGTAGAGAAGGAAACAGAGGTGGAATTGGGAGCCAGTTTGCCCAAGCACGGGGAGATCCGGGATAAGAAGGATAAGGTCACACTAGAAATCCCGGACTTACTGCAACTTGTCAAAGCAATCAGGTACCACAAAGTGGTCGTTGACCCGGCCGCCCTCGCCCGCTTTGAGGAGAGAGTCCAAAAAGGTTATTGCCTAAATGGGGAGCTGGTCAGTATTCAACCCCGCATTGTGGAAGCGCCGCAAGCAACTCCGACCGTTCATTTTTTAGAAGAAAGATCTCGGAAGGAAGCGTTCGGAGGTATAAGCCAGTAGGAAAGAAGGCGAAGCCGGTCTCCATCCTACTCGAGATGACTACGGAGGAGGCCATGGAAAAGGAGGAGGAGGTTCTTCGGGTAATTAGAGAAAGGAGGGTGGCGGAAGGACATAGGATACCGGATGAGGTGGCCCAAACCATGAAGATCGGAGTAAAGGGTTTTCTGACGGAGCAAGAAACAGGCAATCAAAGAAGTATGCCAAGAATCTCACCTAGCATTCGCTTTCAATGACCATCAGAAAGGGCGCCTGGACGCGAAGCTGATCCCACGAGTCAGGATCCACATGGTCGAGCATGAGTGTTGGAATGACAAGGGACCGGCCTACGACTTTGGGATCGCAGGAGAAGTGACGGAGCTCCTTAGGGCAAAAATGGACTCCTTCGTGGCAGAACCCACCGCGTCTCCTTATGCCAACAAGTGGTTTGTATTCCGCAAGCCCAACAAGTCACTTAGGTGGATTCAGGACCTGCAAAAGTTAAATGTTGTCACCATCCGGGACGCGGGATCGTTGCCACAGGCAGATCTGCTGGCCGAATCCCATGCCGGACGCAGTATTTACTCCTTGATAGATCTGTACTCAGGATACGACCAGCTCCTGCTGGACGCACGAGATAGGCCCTACACGGCTATGCATACGCCAGTTGGACAGTTGCAGATGCAGGTCACGCCTATGGGACTTACTAATGCGGTAGCAGAGGCACAGGGGAGGATGCTCGCGGTGGCCGGGGACATGTTCCCAGACAAATGTGAGCCCTACATTTACGACAACCCTGTCAAACAAGCACGGGAGAAGGATGAGACCAAAGTCCAGCCGGGGATAAGAAAGTTTGTTTGGGACCACCTGCAGGATATTAGAGAGCTGCTGCGAAGATTCCTAAAATACATCGTAACCGCTAGCCGTCCGAAGAGTATCTTGGCAGTTCCAGAAGTCACAATTTTGGGATTTCGTTGTGGGGCCTATGGAAGGAAGCCGGATCCGGCTAAGACCGATAAGATAGCACAGCGGCCTACGCCCCTTCAAACTACAACAGAAGTCAGGGCATTCCTGGGGGTGGTAGGCTTTTGGAGAATCTTCATAAAAGGGTTCGCAAAGATAGCGGAACCGATTCGAGCCATGATCCGTGAAGAAGGCACGCTCAATTGGACTGAGGAAAGGGAATCGGCCGTCGAGACCCTGAAAAATATTCTCACATCCGAAGAAGTCACCCTTGCCGCTCCGTGTTTCAACGACGAGGTCGGTCGACCTTTCATCCTTGAGACGGATGGAGGACCAATGGCAGTCGGCGGGGTGCTAATCCAAAAAGGCGAAGATGGTAGAGAGCGACCGATCAGATTTGAGAGTAGGACGCTCAATTCGGCTGAGCGGTGCTACTCTCAGTTCAAGAAGGAGGTACTTGCGATACTGCATTGCCTCAAGACCTTTCAGGCTTACCTCTTCGGGAGGAGGTTTATCCTGAGGATAGACCCAACCAATGTCGCCGGGGCCCTGAAGAACTATAAGCCTATAGACCCGATTGTTGGAAGATGGGTAGGATTTATCTGGCAGTTTGACTATAAGATTGAGCGCATAGCCGGCTTTAGGAATCGAGCAGACGGACTGAGCAGGGTGGCTCTCACACCCGAAGGGCTAGAAGAGGCAGAGCCGATTGACGCGTTCCTCGACGACGAGGGCGGGATGCTGGTAGTAGACAGCGAGATGGCCGGAACCACTTGCACAACTGGGGAGCTATTGATCACAGCACTCGAAAAGGGGCCTCTGGCAGTGGTTGCCGAGTTAAGGGAAGGAATGGTCACCAGAGTTGGAAGGAGGGAAGAGAAGGACGCTTGGGGCAGTGTTGTGAAGCCCCGGGATAAACAAATCGCACTAGCCGTTGAGGGAGGCTGGAGAAGGGTTATGAGCATGATGGAGTCTCAGGAGCTGGAGATGCAGCACTATCAGGCCTATCAGGTGGATAATAATCAGACGGGTACTCAGGAAGAAGAGCAGTTCTTCCTCATCAAGTCATATGAAGGGTTGTTCAGAGAAATTGGGTTGCTGCTGGTGGGGAACAAGGAACCCCACGAGGTTAGTCCTAAAGCTAGGGAGGAAGCGGATAGGTATGTGCTTAGAAGGGGGAACCTATTCCGAAAGGAGGAAGGCCTGATGCCCAGGAGAGTAGTCTGTGGAAGGATACGACAGCTCGACATTCTTCAGGCCATGTATGACGGATTGGCCGGTGGCCATCGCTCATCCAAAGGGACCCTAGCCAAGATAACGCCGCTCTATTATTGGCCGGGAATGGCATCTATGGTAGCCACATACTGCCAGACCTGCAAAATCTTCCAGGAACGAGGCACGGTCCGCATTTTCGAGCCACTTAGACCCACCCGCGTGTTGGGGCCAGGGCATATGGTACATCTCGACCTGGCAGTCATGCCGGTTTCCAGAAAAGGGTACAGGTACATACTTGACGCAAGGGATAACCTTAGTGGGTTTGTCGAGGCAACCGCGCTCAAGAAGAAAAGTGGGTTTGCAGTTGCAGACTGGGTGGACTTTTATCTGAGGCACCCGTTCATCAGGAGATTCATAGCCGACAATGGGACTGAGTTTGTGAACCAGGACGTCCTGAATACCTGCAAGAGGCTTGGCGTACCGATAAAATTGACAGAACCATTCCAACCTGAGGCCAACGCGCCAGTCGAGCGAGGGCACCAAACGCTTAAGAACACGATTGCAAAGCTGGCAGCAGATGACCTTGGGAACTGGCCGGACTATCTCAGACACGCGGTATTTGCCGAGAATATGACACCAAAAAGGACGACGGGATGCATCCCGNCACGCGGTATTTGCCGAGAATATGACACCAAAAAGGACGACGGGATGCATCCCGGCAGAGCTATGGTATGGCAGGGAGATTGACTTTCCGGTAGAAGCCCTAGTACCCACCTAGAACAAATTGGAAGATGACCCTCATCTGACTACGGAACAATTGATTGAGGCAAGGTGTGAACAAGCGGCCAGGAACGAGGAGGCCTTGGAAGAAATAGCTCACAAGGTACTAGACAGTCGCATGAAGGACAAAACCAGGTGGGACCAGTTGAAGAACATCCAGAAGGAGCCTCTGCAGGTCGGGGAGATGGTCCTAGTCAGAAATTCGGCACTAGGAACTACATGGTCAGGCCAGTTGGGGCGGCGATTCAAGGGACCTTACCGTATTGCAAGAAAGTTGGGTGTGAGCACGTTTGAGATTGAGAACCTGGATGGGATCACTATAAGGGGGCCAGTCCCCGCGCAACGACTGGTCAGGTTTCTCACTAGGGATCCGGTGGAACAATGGCTGCAAGAAGCCCAGGATAAGGAGGCGGAAGACTAAGGCCGCTCAGGACAGTGGCAAGAGGCCTACTTATCGCTTGTGCTTCTGGTTGTTGGCTTTTGTTTTTTGTGTTTTTTTCCTTTTGACGGCCTGGGTGTGCATGAGTCGCATGGGAAAACGTGCGATTCGGCGGGGGTTTTCTGTATCATAGTTTTTGTGGGATAATGGGATGAGCAATGGGGGATGGGACATTGTACCATAAGACATGGTATTGGAGGGGCATTGGGAAAAGGGGGCGAGGTGGTCGGCTGTTCCTCCTTTTTTTCTTCTTCATGCCTTTCTGTTTCCGTGGGAGCAAGGGATTGGGGGACACGTGTGGGCAGAGTCTGGGATGAGTATCACAGCGGAGTGGGTTGGGGCTTTCTCCTGTCTTGTGTCCTACCTTTCAGGTATAGAAGTCAAGCGGACCAAGATGGCACCCAACAACGAGAACGATATTAATCAAGCAAACATCAATGTTGATGACCCATGGCGGCAACCAGAGAGGCCGCAAAACAGAAACAGACCGGTGCTCGTGATAGGACCGCAACCCCGGCCCCCTGTTAGGACGGGAAAAAGGAAGATGCGAGCCTGTAGACCCTCCCCTACAAAAGAAGGCGATGTGCTCCCAGCCTGGCCAGAGGATGAAAGTGAGTAAGAACGAGAGGAAAGGAGGGAAGAAAAAGGGACAAAGGACCAACACAAGGAAGAACCTGGGCAGGGAAGCTGGAAAGACGCTAAGGGATCCACAAAAGATGACAGTGAGACAGGGGAGGACATTCCGAAGATTGTAATTGTAAGTAGCGATGACGAGATGGATAGGGTCTCAAGGCCCAGGCCGGAAGGACAGTCATCAACAAGCAGGGCCTCAGAGGAGGTCCATGATTGGGAGGAGGTATTCGGCCCCACACCCAGTCATTGGTTCGAGGTGTGGGCCAGCACTTTCAGACATGACTGGATTATGATAGCCCGTAGCCTCATGGCGGCTGGGGAGAGGGTCACGCCAACGGACTTTTTCTCAGAAAAAACATTACATGATATGAAGGCAACATTGGACGAGATACGGACCTTCGGGCTGGGGGTGGCGCCGCCACCAAAGACAGAGGAGGGCAGGGGCGCTAAGCGCCAAAGAACGGATCGGGATACTGGGAATTAAGGATTGGCAAACTGGGGTTGGATGGCACGGTTGGATGTAAAATAGGGGCGCTGGGACTCGGCAAACCAATCAGGGAGAAAGGCGGGGGTGGTATTTTGTTAAGTGGCTTCCTAGAAACAGAGTTAGTCAAGGCAAGGATGTGGGACTTTGAGTGAAACAATGCCTGCTTACCTGAAACTTGTTAAAAGACATGAGGGCAAGCTGGGAGATGCAGGGAGAGACAACTTTTTGAGTATCAGGTACTTTTTCTGTGGTTTGGCAAAGACGAAGGAGAGTGTGATTGGGGATTCGAACATAAGGAGGCTCTCTCTTTGCTATTTAAACAATCTGTAATTCGGTTTCTGTCTTCTCAACAAATTGTGATACTGGTTGGATTGGAAGGATTTGTGCCTGGCTACTGACACAACGAGTCTCTCAGAATGTACGGTCACATATGTGAATGACGATGGTGTCCTGGTAAGAGAGGTTAGGGAACCTACGGGTAGAACGGCACGACAATGCTTTCCCCTAGGAGCCTAATCCGACGGAGTCCAGTCCTCAACATCAATATGCATGAGACCTGCAGCTATGATTGAACGACCGGGCGGTCTAGCATTACTAAAGGTTGGGTGAATCCCGCCGCGAGCTAGACGCTAAGTCGGATGTATGAAAAAGATAAAGAAAAGTGGAGCAAGAAAATGCATAGCACGCTAAAACTAATGGCCACCACCTACCCCCCCCCCCAACTGACAATCGGATCCGAGCCTCCCTCGGCCCACCCCCTCGGGCGCATGTATTGAGAAGGAAATGGAAATAGGGAATGGCCCTAACCAGGCTATTCAAGTATGAGTATGGAATGGAAATAGGAATGGCCCTAACCAGGCTGTTCAAAGCTCGAGATTGGAAAAGAAGAACGATCCTAACCAGGATGTTCGGAATGGCCCCTGACAAGGGTCATTCTTTGGAATTGGCACTGGGGTCCCCTGGCATGGCTGCTTGAGACGCATGATATTGAAAGAGTTGAGCCTTGGAAAAGGACATTGGAAAGTCGGAGCCTTGGAAAAGATATTGGACCCAGCCTTGGAAAAGATATTGGACCCAGCCTTGGAAAGGATATTGGACTCAGCCTTGGAAAGGACACGGGACCCAACCTTGGAAGAGATAATCGCATCAAGCATTGGACTCAGATTGAGCATCGGAAGGAGACTGAGCATTGGAATTGGATTGAGTATTGGAAATTGCATTGCATAAACTGAGGACCCTAGGCAACTTAAGATGGATTTGGAAATGGCATTGAAATGGATTTCCTTTTTCTTCTAGTCTTTGGCCTCAGCGAGAGGGGGATACCGGTGCACCCACCGCGACCCAAAGACCTCTATCCCTTTGAGGGAAAAAGTCTCAGCGCGACCTGCTCCTCCTTTAAGAGGATGAGGGTTAAAGGACTAAGGCACCTACCACTTGGATCGGTGCGGGACGTCCGGAACTGACCCTGACAATGAGCTCTAGTCGGGAAGTTCAAACTGCGCCTCCTGTTGGATGCCTAAATGTCAAAGCGCGAGAGAGCCAAATGGGCAAGGAAGCCATTCTCATCTAGTCTATTTTGTCCTCTCCAACCACACGCCATGCCATAGAGGGGTGCCATGGCCGTTTGGGTCAGACCTCGGCTACCCGCACTAAGTTGGGTGGCACTGTCCAAGGGGAGGGGCTTGGCGGAGTTCCGGGTGGCGTCCGCGGCCACCATGGGGCATTGACACTGCCCTGCCGGAGCATTACAACCGTTTCGGGACTAATTGCGAGGTCTTCGTAACTGCACTCGTGGACTAATTGAGAGCCCCAACTCTCTTGGATTGGATGAGGCCGGATTCGCAAAACATACCACTTTGGGAGGAACGATTCGCGAGGGAGCCACTCTCGGGCAGGATGGGGTCCTGGGAGACAGGGACTAGACCTGTCTCATGGCTGCGAGGAGGCACCTCAATGATGATGTATCTCCGAGTTGGTGGCCGCCGGACTAGGGTAGGGGATGAGGTGAGTTATCAACAAGGGAAGGACTGATCACCCTTCCTCTTGCTGATAGGCCGGCATCCGCTTACTCAATGGGCAGGCAAGGTTTGCGTGCCTCCAAGTGAAAACCTGTAACCCGATGGGGACATCGTGATTGAGTGGGGGGAAGGTGTGCCATCTACCTAAGGACAAAGCGTGCAAAGAAGTAAAAGGCCCAGGAAAAGATGGACAAGAAAATTGCATTGGACTTGGCTGAGCTGGGCCATAAAGGTGCCTGGCCAGATGGATTGTGAGAATTGCATTGGACTTAGCTAAATTGGGCCATAAAAGTGCCTGGTCAGATGGATTGTGAGAATTGCATTGGACTTAGCTGAATTGGGCCATAAAGGTGCCTGGTCAGATGGATTGTGAAAATCGCATTGGACTTGGCTGAGCTGGGCCATAAAGGAGCCGGTTATCTGGAGTGTGAAAAGTGCCTTTGGTCGTGGTTGAGCCGGGTCACAAAAGAGCCGACGAGGGGAAATAAAGAAAACAAAGTAAAAATGGAATGAAGAAAAGAGGGAAGGGGGGGGATTCTTGTATTTGAGTGGGGCGGAAGAAAAGGACGGTCTTTCCAAAGTCTACAAAGGATCAAAGAAAACGGGCAAAACGAAAGCACAAGGGAAGGGGGTAATGAACGGCAAAGCGATGAGGTAACTGGGGTGAGACGCGGGCAGGATTGGCAGGACCTGAGAAAAGGCGGAAAAAATGACGCAGGGGAAAGAAGGGAGCAGTGGGGAGTGGCAGAGAGATGGAATCAAGGTTATAATGCAGCTAAGGGGAGTTGTGCCTGTGTTCATCAATTCGAAGTGGGTATCACTACAGCAAAGGTGGCGGTTGTACTGGACGAACAGTCTCCTTCCGGAGCAGATGCCTGATATTGAGTCACATCCAAAAACTTGCCTACATTTGTTATCAGCAAAACCAAGGCAGGAAAAACCAACCGGACTGGGGCGACAAATGGTCATCCCGGGGAGGAAGTCCGTCTGCTGGGAATTAAGAGCAGGAAGCAAGGAGAGCCCCGCCTACCTCGTGTTACTGGAGTCAACGGAACGTCGGGCTGCCCTGCTAGGTATACAGAGTTGACTGAGAAGGAAACTCGTGTCTCAGTGGAGGGGAAGATAAAAGGGCAGAGCTATGACGAAAATGAGCAGCTTTGTCTAAGTTGTAGGAAGAAAGAAGAAAGTTTGAAGAGGAAAACCCCGACCCCCATACCCTCCCCCGCCCTGAGGGGGTAAAGACAAAAGGAACCCCCGAGAAAAGACTGGGAAGAAGACAAAAAGGACCCTGGCAAGCTGATCGCCCATCTTGACCCTCCCCTCCATCCCCCCCGTCCGTGCCTCCAGATTCCTACTAACTATGGACTAATGC